AAAATTGTTTGCTGCTTACCGATAACAGCATTTTAAACAGAACCCTACAAAGTTCTAAAGCATTCACCAAAGTATTTACACACTGAAATGAATAATATACATTATCAAGTATTTGTGGACAGACTGAACAAGGAAAAGCTTTTTGTTATGTCTCAAACTTCACACTAGATGACCAGGGTCATCCCCTACTGACTTTGCCCCTATCACAATCTCAGCTCAGGAAATTTCCAAACTCATCAAAAACCTTGACTCTATGAAGACTACTGGTTTGGATTAAATCCCTGTTGTTGTTCTTAAGAACATTACCCTGAGTTATCTCTAATCTTGGTAAGGTTGTTTAACCATTGCCTGAAGGAGAATTTTTCCAAAGTCTGTGGAAGGTATTTGCTCTGTTTTCAAGAATGCTAGTGAGCAATAATCTCTGTCACAATTTCACCCCATCAGCTTTCTTGGTGCCATCAACAAACTCTTTGAGGCTATTATCAACAAGGAAGTAATTGCTCACATTTCTAGAAATAACCTATGTGGGTTTTTCTCCTTTAGGTTCACTGCTGATTTTTAACTGTTATTATGCATAGAATTAGTGAAACACTTGATGATAGTAACATCACAAGAGTCATTTCCTTAGAAATCTTAAAGATTTTTGACAAGGTGAATCACAGAGAGTTATTACACAAACTCTCCAACATCTCTGGAAGAGTTGATGCAATTATCAAATTATTTCTCTCAGGTAGGTCCATAAAGGTCATTGTGAATGGCCGGTTTTCTGATGCCCATGTGGTTAATGCAGGCAATTGCCAAGGTTCTCTCCTTGATCCTTATGGAACACTTCTAAAAAGAAAGATGTTCAGAGCCTAACAACTGATCTCTCCTCTGACCTTCAATGGGGGAAAAAATTGGCTTATAACTTTCAGTAACTCAAAAATCAAGCTAGTAACATTTTGTTACCACCAATCTGATCCAGAGTTTCCTTCCATCACAAAGAACGGCTGCACTCTCATCATGACTGGAGAAAACTTAGGGTCTGATTGTTCTTTTTTTTTCTCTAACCACAATGAACAGTTGCACTCTCAAAGAGGATCCATGCAACCCCTGGGCCACATCCGGTCTCTGAAAGATTTTTGTCTGGCCTGCCAGCTTAATACCTAGACATTAATTATGTAATTAATTTGTGGGGCAAGTTGCAGAAAAAATATCATTTGGAGTTGACTTACTGTTATGATGTTGCTTTGGGGTTAGTAGAGACAAACGCCAAATAACACGTAAAAGGGTTTTAATAGGTTGGTAAAAAAAAAAGGGTTTTAATAGGTTGGTAAAAAGGTACAGAAACCGCCTGAGTAGTCAATAACTAGCTCAGCTAAGAACTTCTCTGTCCATCTGTCTTCCCTCATGTCAACTGACATGCCACTATTTAAAGTCTTTGTTCGCAGACAAGTTCATCTTCAAGAGGGGTGGTAGGTTTCTGACACAACACTTACAATGCGACACATACATTGTTGACTTCTACAAGAAATATGTTTTGACAAGTGGAAAATAGAAAAGCCTATTGAATAATTTGAAAATGATGGCATCATTATTTGGAAATAAATATGCTTGTGAACAACTTTTTTTCAAAAATGAAATCTACTAAAAGTTGTTTAAGAACAAGGTTGGATGATGACTACCTGGATGATGTTTTGCTCCTATCATCGACAAATATTTCACCTGATGTGAAGAAGTTATCAAACAATAAGCAGGAACAAGTGTCTCATTAAATAATTTGCCATTTCTAACTGTATTTCGTTTGTAGCAAGGAATTTGCATTTTTGTTGATTGTGTTAATTGTTATCCTGCAGTTTAAATAATATAGCATTAAATTTGTTGTTTTTTACTTTAAACTTCCAGACCAAAGCAGCCTTCTGGACAAAGCAGCCTTCTGGACAAAGCAGCCTTCTGGACAAAGCAGCCTGAGATTGAGACAATTTGTTATAATACATTTGAGATCATGGCCCTCCTCCAAGACAATGTATAGCTTTCTGGCCGGCTCTCTCCAAAAGGTTGTTGACCCTTGGTCTATATAATAATATCATACATGAGTTCCACTTGAGGACTGGAGTGAATTTCAGACCTAATAGATTTTCAAAGGAAGAAGACTTCCTGAAAGTGTAACTGTTCATAGTGATGGTAGAAAAAATAGGATCTGATCATTTTTTTTAGTTTTTTTTTTTTTTTTTTTTTTTGTTCTATAGCCACAATGAACAGTTACACTCAACAAGGATCCTTGTTTTGGATGTTTATTGGAACTCAAGTTCACTCCTAGCCTCAAGTGGAACTCATATATACAATTCATTACTAAAGATGCTGGTAAATTGGTTGGTTCCTTGTACTGCTCCAGAAAGTACTCCTGCTATGCTTTATCTTTACCAAAGTTAGATTAGACTAAAAATGGAGTACTACTGGAATGTCTGGGCTAGAGCTGCCCAATCCTCACTTTCTAGCCTTGATAGAGTTCAAGATTGTATAGGTAGCTTTGTGTGAGATGACATTTTCCAACTTGTAGTCTCTTTCCCACAAATGCAACATCACAAGGCTATCACTACTCTCTCGCTATTTCCATGGTAAATGTTCAGATGAGCTCTATTCTTTGGTTCCTCCAGTTCAGTTCTTTATAGCTAAAACCCTCCATACTACATTCACAGTCAAGCCACTCTCATTCTATCTGTAATTCAATTGTAAAGTAGAATTTTAATTTAGACAATATTTTTTTCAAATAAGTGCTACTTTGTGGGACGCATCACAAGTTATGAGAAATCTCAAATAATGGCTCTTGGTTTGAATAAATTCAAAAACTTTCAAGCTTGTATCTTTCTGAAAACAAATAAATATAAGACTTTGCAACAGGTTGTTGTCAGTGAAATCAAAAATACCAACTCGTCTACACATTAATCTGCATCAATCACCTCCCTTTATCCTAAGAGTGAAATAAAGTAGCTAGAGATCAAACAAAAACTACATACCAGCTTCTCTAAATCTACTCTTCTTGTACTTCCTTGTTTGTAATTAATGACATTTTTAAAAAAAATATGAACTTTGATATCCAGTTCTACAAACATTTCAAATAATGTGTTACTATGAAAAGATGCACTGACAAATATTAAATAATTGCAGTTTTGAATTTTACCAAATTTGTGACTTTGACTAGCAACGTCGTAGTAATAAAAATAAAATAGGTAGCATATTGTTTTTTTTAGCCATTTTTTATGTTAAATAAAAAAATAGGAAAAAGTGGGGGGTTTATATGCTAATACGGTCAAGTATTTTGTGTAGCAGGTTGAAAGGCCAAAGTGTCTAGCTAGAGCTAGAATATTACAGTTAAAAATGTCAATCTTGCCTTGGCAGCTTTGCTTTAGTTTTTGCCGTGTGAATTTCACTCATTATTAAACTGGATTCCCCTTAAACATTTCTGTACTTAAAAAAATCTTTACCAGTTGAGCAATAATAAAATCCAAATAATAAAGAAGAACAAATCCAAGACAATTTCACCTGTTGTTGTGATTGTTTTCTACTTAAAAGTACCGTAATTCCCCATGTATAATACGCATTTTTTTTTCTAAAAAAATAATTAACAAAATTAGGGATGCGTATTATGCACAGCTACAAAAAGTCTTAAAAAAATTGCCGTTTCATAGGTCGATTTCAGTTGTGAAATGACTATTCACCACAAACATAAACAGTAACACTACTTAACTAACATTCGGCGATTGTGACCCCATATGTCAACAAATCAAATGTACCTAATACTTACAAATATAAAATAAAATAAGAATTATCATAAAACTAAATTAGAATAATATTCTATGTTTAAAACCATTTTTTAAATTAAGAGTAGGAAACGCTGGCCATAATGAAATTGAAGAAGTACAATTTAGGGTTTGATTACCAAACAAGGGGTGCGTATTATGCGTGAGTAGAAGCATTTTCCTACACTTCCAGTACAAATTTTGGGGTGCGTATTATGGATGAAGGCGTATTATAAGTGGGGAATAAGTTTTATATACAAGAAGCCGAAACTAATTATATGTTTAAATAAATATTTGAAAAAATATTTTTCAAATAAACAAAAAATTCCAACGAAAACCAGGAAAAGAAAAAAAATGACTTTCCAAATAAGAGACAATGAAAAAGTATTTGTTTTACATAACGAAAAAAATACATAAATGAAAAACTTGCTTAAGCTTTTCTTAAGCAATTGTTGATTACTTGGCGAAAATGTCAAATCAACTCGGATAAGAATTTTTTTTTTTTTTTTTTTGCCGGGGTGGTGAATAGACTGACTAAATTCCAATCAAAGATTCATTAAATAAATATTAATTAAACAATTCATTTAAAAATAAAAAAGACGAATCAATATTAGACAGAAAATATTTATTCGTTGCTACTATATCGGCTGTTTTGGAGTTTACGAAATTTTATATTATAATTTAATTATTATTATTATTAATATTAATTCCTTGTTATTGTCCAGCCACCATCACTGCCATCCCAATCCGTTTTTCAAATCGAATCAACATCAATTCAATCACAATGAGAAAAGAAGAAAACAGATACTACCACATGCATTTTCAAAGGAAGATCCAAAAAAAACAAAAACAAAAAAACGTTTCTTTCTTGAAAGGTGCTCAACGCACACACAAAAAAAAATGAAGGTCGTATTTTAGCCACTTCAAAGATAAGATGCAACTTTATACGAATTACTCGAGAAGCATACATTAAACTTGACACAAACTAAAATATCGAAACACCGGCAACGAGTGGGAGTAAAATGAAAACCATCATTATAAGAAGGGGTGGGGGTGTGATTTGAAATGGTTTATGTCCTTTATGGACTTCCATAATATTACTAGACTTGCCGTTTACTGGAAAAATTATATGTATAACGAAAATATGAGCTTTGGGGACCAAACGGTATAATTTAAACGATTGTGCTGCCAACTAGTATGATACAGCATTCATTTACTTACATTGTCGGCTGGTTGCACACCGTTATCCTGCGGTCCAAGGACGGAGGCGCTGCACGAAGAGTAACTGGCCGCTCCTCCCGTGGCCATGTTTACAAACATTATGCACACGACAGCCCCGCACACAATAGCAAATAACTTTAAACTATGGATTAACACACGTGCTATAAAGTAAACAGCAATGATGACCACTTTTGTATTCAGTTCGTCAAAAATCCTTTTTAAACCTCATCGGTTGCTAGAAATATAGAAAATAAGATTTAATTCAGAAGATTTAATTCAGTTTTAATGAATGTTGTTACAGTATTTTCAAATATAAAATCTGCATTAGAAAACTAAAGCCACTTTTGTTTTTATCACTATGGCAACATCCTCTTCTTTGTGACCACTGACCACGGTAACCTGGATTTTCAAGTGTCAGTCAAAACTCTTTTATTGATTTTCAGTGGACCAAAGAGACATTTTGAATAAAAACAGAACCCAAGAAACCTCACATTTCTTTGTGAAAAATCTCTATCTATTTACTAAAACAGACAAGTATTTCTTCTTTTACATTTACAATCTCTTCATTAATTCAAGTAGGTTTGGATGTTAATATTTTACTCTAATGATTCTTCATGATGACAATATTTAATTCTTCTGTACTCTGCTTTAACTGATATGATACCAAATATTTACACTATTTACTGGAGATAGAAATGAATAACTTTTTCTTTAAAGTTGAGTTCAAATTTCAGTCAAGTTCATTACACAGTCATTTTCACACAAATAGTTCTTACAGTTGAGCTAGCTAGATGTAGCCGTAAATTCTATGCTAACAGTTTCTTCTCTTGCACTTCTCACTTGTGGAACTCCCTTCCGATTCCATGCTTTCTAACCAACTTTAATCTGCAAAAATTTAAATACAATGTCAATTGCTATCAACTGTCCACCTGATTACTCTCTTCTCTTTCTGCTCATCATTAATGTTTCTGTTCCTAATTCTTCCACATCCTGTAACTCCTTGTGTTTTAGCGGCATTACTGCCTTGCTTGAGGTGATTCAAAGTAAAAAAAAAAAACTTAAGGAAAGATATTGTTATACTCTCCTTTAAAATAGTTCTCTTTCTGATTCACTCAAATTCAAAACCTCTTGGCTGGATGTGAATGCTATGAAAGCATAAATAAAAATAAAAATAGAAGAACAATGAAAAGAGACAAGCATCACACCTGGGTAATGAAACAAATCCTGTAAAAAAAATAATTATATATATTTATATATAAATATAAAATATAATTTAATGGCTGGCCGCTCATATCCAAGTATGGCTATCTGCTAGGGCAGCTAGCTAATCCCTATTGCAGACGCCTGCTTAGGCACATTTGTGCTTGTTCAACATCCACAGAGCCCACCTGTGTTTTATACTGCAACTATGCTAAGCAGACCTTAGTTGCAGTTTCTGGGAGAGAGCGCGTGGTCTGGTGTGATCAAGCCTGAACACAACAAGTATGCACAAATCATCAGTTACAATGACTTGTGACTTTATGCTATGTCATCCACCAACAGCTCCCAAATAGTTCTGTCTACCCAATTTCATTCACAAGGCTTGGGTCAACCCGTGGTATGGTTTTCAGGCACTTTCCAAGGGATCACCTCTAAAGTACGATAACATCAAGAAGTCACCTTCCTGACAAATGACTATGGTGAGATTCAAACCTGGATTTCATTATAATATAAAAGGCATATGATAAAAAATGCTGATTCATGAACCATCTCATCTGCTTTTAAAAAAGCTGCTCACAACACTGTCAGCAGTTGTGAGTCAGTGGACAAGCTGTCAATGTCAACACCAGTGACCTTGGTCAACTAACCCATACATCAACTCCAGGGCCTACTGACTCTCTTCATCATCCAAGTCTCTTCCTTTGCCCACAAAGAGACATTCCACATTGATCCTCTATATCAGCAATACAAAGAATTTTATCTTCATAATTCTTGTCTTCTTTTCTTTTTGCCTCACCAGTGATACTTGCTGTTTTGATTGTTCTCTCATGCCACCATAGATACATTTATAACAGTATGAATCTATCCCTTTTCCTCCTAGCTAGGTCCTTTAGCTATAGTTAGCTACCAGTCTAAGAGAAGACAATTCTGAATTGAAAACCAGTTGGTATGCAGCTAGCAACTCTATCTCATAAAAGCCTATTTGCTATGGAAACTATAGCACCACTGCATAGCATGTTGAGAACTGTGGTCCCATATTCCTCACTGGAGTTTACAGGATTTGACTTGATAAGCTAATGATGTTAATGATCAATCACAATTTTATGCATCATTTTGCTTCAGATGGATTTGATATCACAAACTAACCACAAATTAAACAAAACTTTGAAATTATTTTTCTATAAACTTACATTTTTTGAAGGAAAATAAATATCAAAAATGTTTCTCAGATGAAAGTGAAATAAAAATTCTTAATCCATCAGCAGTTGTAGATCTTCTTATACTATATTATCCTAAATCTTCTGATTGATTCATTCATTTTTTTATGGATTATCAACCCTTTATAACTTATTTAAAGCCAGAAAATATTTTTAAATTGTAAGATTTTTTTGTTTAATATAATAATGGTTTAGTGATATACATCTTACTATTTAACCTATAGCTGGGGGGAATAGCTGGATTCCAAGGGGTTTTGTGCATAAGAGAATATATAACAAAATCACCAGGAATTGGAACTCGGCTCTCTGATTAACAATTCTAAGACATTATCCATTACACCACTCTCACACCCAAGCTTACTGCACCAGGTATTCCCAAGCAGTCACCCATCTAGGTACTGACCAGGCTCAGCATTGCTTAACTTCCTACCTAAATTTTTACTGGTTTTGCTCACAGTCATAGTTGTGTGTTATAGGAATAAAATAAACTGGAAGTATAAACTGAAGTCAGTTGATGATACAGTGTAATTGGCAAACCAGTGTCAAAGTTCATCATCATCAGTCCTATGACAAGGTGTAGTTGTAGGATGACTGTGTAGCTAAACACCTGACAAATTCCCTCACTTTCTGGGTTTGAAATCCAGAAAGGTATTCATTCATGTATAACATGTCTTGGGCAAATAAACCTGGCATAGTCCATCCCTCTCTGGGTCAAACAATAACTGATGTCCTTCAACTTGAAGGCTTGCCTTGGTCATGGACACATGGCAGTTACTTTCATTGAGGAAACACCCTACTCTGGCCATTGCCTTCAGTTTAGGAAACCCTTCACCCTGAATAAATAGATATAGATACCAGTCTACTCCACTGTGCTAAATGGCTGTTGACCCTACTAGAAGCTTTATCTACCCTTTGACAGGTCTTGTTTTTCAACCTGTTGAGTGTCTAGCCACCCTGCACACCAGAAAAGCCTGGTGGAGGAACTAGTAAAGCCACTGATGACCTGACCATGCAGCAATGTAGTACTGGATTATATGGTACAAGCAGGACTTGTAGAATGACCTGATAAATCTAGGTTTGTTGAGATGTTAGTAATACAGTTTAGTATTGCTGACAGTAAAAACTTGAGTACATTGATAGATTTCATTGTTGGAAGTTGATATCTACTTACTAGTGTTAATGACTTGAGCTAACTTGTATATTCACCAAACTTGTTTTCTATCTGTATATAATCTGTTTGTTTCTAAAAGATGTTAAAGATTACTTGAATATCTCTTCTAAGGTAAATCAAGCTTTCCTAACAGTTCAAGTAGCACTTTGTGTTGTACCCTATCAAATACCTTTGTGTAATCTATGAACATAGGCATAGATCTTTCTGCATTTGTATTGCACATTCAAATAAAAATCGCATTATTCTCCCAGTGTCTTAGCCACAGTTATACTGTTTTTACCCTATTTTCAATCTAACTCTGCTACGAGTTCTATTCATTAGAATCATTAGAATGTGGCCCATCAAGATGATTACACTAATTTGCATCTGGCTTCTTTACTATTGCTATGAAGATTGGTCCATTGAAGTTTTCTTGTATTTCACCACTGTTTTATATTTCATTTATCAAATCATTAATCATATCAATTCCCAAATCTTCAAAGTCTTGTCTGATTCTACTGCTTTGTTCCTTTTTATCATGGTCAGTGTTGATCTAACCTCAGATTTTAATCTTGTGATTCTTTCCATATTTTCATATATTGTAGGTTTCTCTCTTCTGATCTCTATAGTACCTTCTTCTCATCTCTATAGTACCTTTTCTTTTTCTATAATGACTACCCCCTCTTTAGATTTGTTGGGGCGCACCCACCTTCTAACTAGTAATGGACTGATCCCTCTTATATAAGTCAGCTCTGGAGAGAGAGTGACAGAGCGTCAGAGAGAGAGTCAGCGTCAGCAGTCCAGATAAGCTTACCCGGTACATACCATTGGACTATAGACTTTGGATATTGTTTCGTACTAACCAACCTTCGTTCTACTAATCACTCTATTGTTAATTGCTTTTATGAATATACCAGTATTTTCCTCTACAACTGTGTTTGTCTTGATTCATACACCGACACGCAGGAAACTCACAACATCTCAATGAGATTTTATAAATCCTTCTGCACATTCTTCATTAAGCCATTCAACTTTTGCTTTCCTGCATTTATTTCTAATGTTTATGTATAACATCCTATATTCTTTGCCTTTTCTTAGCATTAACGATTTTCTTTCTTTCAGTAGATTGAGAATTTTACACATAATTCATTACTTATTTTTCCTTGTTTTTCTTCCTTTGGGATAACTTGCTGACCTCTTCCAATTTTTTATATTTGTTTTTACATATTTTTATTTATTTTTATTTTATTTTTATTTTATTATTATTTTATTTATATTTTTATTATATATTTTTATATTTGTTTTTCTTCCTTTGGGATAACTTGCTGACCTCTTCCAATATTTTATATTTGTTTTTTATATATTTTTATTTATTTTTATTTTTATTTATTTTTATTTTATTATTATTTTATTTATATTTTTATTTATTTTTATTATATATTTTTATATTTGTTTTTCTGCCTTTGGGATAACTTCTTGACCTCTTCCAATGTTTTATATTTGTTCTTAATTGTGACTTCATACATTTGTCC